GCTTGGTATGAAAAGAATGGTAAGTTAAGTATATTAGCACATTTAACCAAAGGATAACTTTGTACAATTACAGACGAGAGAGAAAAAAGAATGAAGAAACTATAACCTAGCAACATTAAGAGGAAATTCTGAATGGCTTTCAGAGCATTTCTAATTCAGGCTTCAAAGATGCTTGGGAACACCCAGAACTACAAACATAGCACCTTTAAGCAGGTCTTCTAAAAAAATGCATAATCTTCCAGAATACAAGAGTAGTGCTGCTGTTCAAGACCCATTTTAATCCATCAATTACTTCCTTCCAGATGTAGCACCAAAAAAAAAAAACCTTCCAAAAAGACTTAAATTCACTTTCTGCTCTTACCTGTCTAGGGTTGTGTGTGTGTGTGTGTGTCTGAGAGGGAGGGAGGGAGGGAAGGACAGAGAGAAAGAGAAGGAGGGAGGGGGAGAGAGGGGGGAGAGAGAGGCGGGGAGGAGAGAGAGAGAGCTGGGGGAGAGAGAGAGAGAAAGAATGCACAAGCACCATAGTATTCCTGTCTGGCAAGGAGCTTAATGGAGCAATTATTGGAAGATGACATGGCTAGATGAAACCCTGTACATCAACACTCCTACTACAGGGCAAAGGTGTAGCATTTTTACATGTTCTGAAATGTTAATTATTTTCCTGTACCAGTACAAATAACAGCAAGCCCTCTAAAGCTGCTATCTAAATTGTACCAACAGAGAAACTTTTGCTAGAGTTAATATTGAGATGAGACAATTTCATAATTTCTAACAATATATCCCCAATAGCTATAGTCAATAGAATCCGGAGACTAAAATCTTCACTTTTAAGAACATTTAAAAAGATACATAATTAAATTGCTCTGTTAGTTCAGTTCAGTTCTGTTTCTCTTAAATACTGTAATAACAATACTTATTTTTATTTATACACACACACAGTTCTGCATTTCAAAAATAAAAAAATTACCTGATGAAACTGAGTTTACTTTGCATAAAGAAACTAATGAGACATCATAAGCAAGTTTGACTGGCTGCTAACACGCAATTTGATTTTCTGTATTCATGAACTTTAAATGTATGCTTTTAACTATTCAAATTTTCTGTGAATAGAGGCAATGATTCCTTTTATGTTATATGAAGTTTCAAATGTTCAGCAGCCCAAGGGAGATCATTTTTTTTTTTTAATTTGATTTATATGCCGCCCTTCTCCGAAGACTCAGGGCGGCTTACAATGTGCTCAGCAATAGCCTTCATCCTTTTGTATATTTATACAAAGTCAGCTTATTGCCCCCACAAACTGGGTCCTCATTTCACCTACCTTAGAAAGGATGGAAGGCTGAGTCAACCTTGAGCCTTGGCGAGATTCGAACCCTGCAGTAATTGCAGGCAGCTGGTCTTAATAAGCTTAATAACAGGGTGCCTTAAACCCCTGTACTACCAAGGCTCTCTCATTAATGTAGTGCTTATCTTTTGTATATTTTTTATTCTCATTTCTGCAGAATGTTCTTTCCATATACAGTAATACATGTTAGAGATAGACTTCATGCTACTTAATTGAACATAAGAGAATCTTCTAGGTCCATGATGGCAAACCTGTGGCACGTGTAGCCAATCGGTGGGCACATGAGCTCAGCTCCAGTGCTCCAGCTGATTTTCAGGCCTTCCGGGTCCACCAGAAGTAGGGAAACAGGCTGTTTCCTGCCTCCAGAGGACCTTGAGGGGTGGTGGGGAAGGCCCATTTTTCTTTCTCCCCAGCCTCCAGAGCCTTTCTAGGAGTCTGAGGAGGGCGACCAGTTGACAAACGGGCTATTTTCGGCCTCCGGAGGGCCTCCGGGGTGGGTGGGGAAGGCCGTTTTTGCCGTCCCCAGACTCCTAGAAAGGCTCTGGAGGCTGGGGAGAGCAAAAAACGGGCCTACCGTGCCAGGAGCGGAGGGGGAGCATGGGGGAGTCACATGTGCATGCGTGGGGGCAGGGCGCATAGAATTATGGGTGTGGGCATGCATGCGTGTGACCCGCACCCACCCCTGCTCCTGGCATGCGATGGCAAAAAGGTTAGCCATCACTCTTTTAGGTTGTTCCGTTACTGATTCTAACTGGGAGGGAGGGAGGGAGGGAGGGAGGGAAGGAAGGAAGGAAGGAAGGAAGGAAGGAAGGAAGGAAGGAAGGAAGGAAGGAAGGAAGCTTACCCAATAATTTGAGAAGAAAAAAACAAATTTAACAGACAGCCTGGTATTAAGACAGATTCTCTTTTCCTCTGCATTATACTGAACACCCCTGATGTAACCATCTCAGAAAATTCAAAGTCTTAAATACCAGTAACTCTTGTACAGAACATGTTGATTAGAAATAAACATTCTCAGTCAATATGACTGAGGTCATCAAAGAGGAAAGGCATAAGAGGTCCTATAATTAGTAGCCTTGAAACTCAAAATGACAAACAGGAAGAGAAGGGATGAAATGATCAGAACGAAACACAATAATCTCTATATTATCCATGTTCTGTTTAAGAACCTAGGACCCTATCCAATATGAAATCCTGCTTAGGCAGTTGGAAAGAAATGCCAACATTATGTCATGCAGATTATGGTCAGAAAAATACATCTGAAAGCATCAGCTCATATGTGGTATGCGGTCACTAAACTTGCAATACAAATCAGAGAACGCTGAACAAGAGTATATGAAGAGAATAAGAGATCCAACACTCCCCTGAAAAATGCTGATTGACGATGGGAAAGTTTGAGAAATAGAGCCGTTTTATGAAGCCTAGAACATTGTGTGAGCTTTGGGATTTAGACAAACCACCAATAGCATAAACTAATTGCATATATCATTCAGAAACAAGCTTCAAGTTGTCATTTGGAAAGAAACTTCAAGTTGTTGTTTCAACTCAATTACTCAATCTCAAATACATTGCGCAGATCTCCTTTTTATTATAGTTTTATGTTACTTTTTTACTAGTCATTAGTATTAATTTAATAACTGAACAGAATACAGATCTCATGAATTTGGAGAGTATAAAAAGAAATAAGAATTTTCCTGTGGGCTTAGCAGATGATCTTAATGAGCTATCAGAATACATTACTATATCCTAATATAAATGAGTTCATACTGAATAGCTGAGATAATACTGTAAAACTATTTTGGAACTATGCTAGTACAGATTTTATCTATGGGAAGTCTTATGAAGTCTCCTATGAAAAATATTTCTGCATACAGGTAGTCCTTGATTTACAACCATTTATTTAATGACCGCTCAAATTTGCAATGGCATTGAAAAAAATGAGTTATGACCATTTTTCAGACTTACAACCATTACAGCATCCTCATGGTCACATGATCAAAATTCAGATGCTTGGCAACTGACATGTATTTATGATGGTTGCAATGTCCCAGGGTCATGTGATCATTTTTGTGAACATCTCACAAACAAAGTCAATGGGGAAGCCATATTCACTTAACAACTGTGTTACTAATTAACAATTTCAGTCACTCATTTAATAACTGCGGCAATAAAGGTCAAAAGATGGAGCAAAACTCACTTAACAACTGTCTTATTTAGCAACAGAAACTTTGGGTTCAATTGTGGCCATAAGTCAAGGACTGTCTTCAAAGTAGTAATTGAAGAAAGTTAAACTCTTTATACTGACTGTATTTTTTAAATGTGCAAAGAGCAGAACAAAGTTCACTGGAGTTGAGTGGTCAAAAAAAAACCCAAAATAAATAAATAATTATATTTTTCTTAATTCACTGATCAGAATAGTAGTGTTTTGTAACAGGATTAATAGAATTCAAATGGAAAACAATAAAGTATGAGTACTATGGAACTAAAAGAGTACACATAAAATCACCAAATTTTAAAACTACCTTGCAAAGACATAAAAAACAGTGTTCAAAGGAGTAATTTTTAAAAATATGAAAATACTGAAGCATGCAGTTGTTGGTTTGAAATTCATATTTAAAAAAAACATTAACCACATTACTTGCTACTTGCCTAAAGCATATTAGGGATATTACTATTTATTATACATATTGCTACACAATTTTACCTCCAAAGCTGTTGTTTTATTTTGTGAAAATGAGAAGTTTTAATGATATCTGAGTGAGTGAGATGTGCTTAAATCTACTGAAATTAATTGGATTTTAAAAGTTGCTAATTTTGTTCAGATACATAACTTTAAATCTAATCTCGCAACAACCTCACTGAACAAAAGGTTTGTCAAACCTAATAAAGATAATTAATATTAGAAGAAAATATCTAGGTATTCCCTCTTGTATCTATTTTTGCATTAAAAATTGGCTGAGCCAAGTTGTGTATTAAAAATAGACACCTGGAAAAAGATGTAAACATAATACCATTCTAATTAAAATAAATTCTGCATCACTCACTGCTTTATCACAAGTAAATACCAAATCATGGATACCAAATACCTGGGTGCTTAAATGTTACCAAAAGACAGACCGCTCTCAAAGATGAAAGACACTTTAATCTGTATACACTTCTGTGTCACTGAAAAAGGAAACAGCAGTTCTGTAGCAATCTGCTCATTAGCACAATTGATCTTGTTCCCTGAGTTCTATGAGATTTATTCCCTGACAAATGAGGCTAGGATTGCCATTTGATTTCAGACTTTTTCCCATTGTGACAAATCTCCTCTACAAACTAGTTTTCATTGTCGTTATTTCTTTTCCATTTTGTTTGCATCTCCTGTACTGCCTTCTGCTCATTTAGGTTTAAATTATTCTTTAGCTATTTATTTTCCAACCAACAGAAATCCAAATTTATCACCTTGTCATTTCAAAAGAATTGGAAAGAATCAAACTTATTTTGGGTAATAAGCAGGAGCTTCAGTATATTTTACAGAGTTTAGTGATTCTCAGCTATTATGATAATTAGTCAACTACCCCAAAGTCTTTATCTTCAAAGCTTCGATGAAACGGTGAGTTCTCTACACATACTTAACACTTTCCCCAAACAGCTGCCTGTATATTTTGCTACTTACAGAGCAAATGGGCACAGTGAACCCCACTGTGTAGAGGACAGTAGATGGGATGGTACTGTCATGGAACGGGTAGCTGATGCTGTCATCATTACAGAAAAAGCCCCTCTGATACGGCTTTACTTTTGCCAAGTTTAGAACAGCAAGGGGTAAGCCAGCTGTTGGGGGAAAATACATAAAGTTAAATGTAGATAGATGTCGTCATATACCGGTATTTTTCATCAAGTGCAGAGGAAGCTACTGAGCTACATGCAAAAGCCAAGAGTTTTCTCCCAGCCAGTTTAGCATCATGCAGTGCCCACAGACTCCCGCACCGCAAAGCATCCTATTAATTTGTCCATCATTCAGTACTCTGACCTCCTCTAAAAGTTAGGCTCAGAACTTTAGGGGTTCCAGCCTCAACATATCTAATAGGTGTTTGGTTGAAGAAAATCTGTTCTTTAATCACTAGCAATTAGACCTGATAGTTGCAAATTGAATTATTAATGCTTAAACATTGAAAAATGTCATTTACATAAAGACATAAACTTACAAATTACATCATTTAGTTGATACGTTTATTTTTGTCACTAAGGTGAAATGGGAGCAATCAGAATAGAAAAGACTGAAACTTGGATAGAACAACAAAAAAGAAACAAACAGGGAATGATTATGGAGAACATTATATCTATTTTTATGATGGAAAGATTTTCAAAGTTTGATCTGTTCAGCTTTCAGAAAGAAGGAAGTTGCTGGAGATGGACTATCTCACACACTCCACTAATTAATCCAAATATTAGAGAAACATTTTAAAACAATATGGAATTATGATTTCTATAAACAGATTTACTTCTTTTTCTTATACAGCAAAGTTGAAGACACCTAGATTTCCATCACCCCTCAACATCTGGCTAAGAAAAATAATTAAACAGCAATTCTATAAATGCCTCTTGAATGGTGAAGTACAGAGCATGGAAATATAAGTCACCACCAGCTTCACTTCTGGTTTATAAACAGCTATGCTTAAATTATTAAGATTTATTTCATGGTGTCAGTATTTGCTATAATTATCACAATCTTTATATAACATATTTATGTCATAATACTTTTGTGATTAGCTAATCTAATCCTATTTGAAACTCCATTTGGGGTGGAGTTCCATCAGTACGCTGATGATACTCAGCTGTACATCTCCACCCCAGACCATCCCAACGATGCCTTGGAAGTGATGTCCCAGTGCTTGGAGGCCGTGTAGGTCTGGATGGGGAGAAACAGGCTCCGACTCAACCCTTCCAAGACCGAGTGGCTGTGGCTGCCGGCGTCCCGGTATAGCCAGCTGGCGCCATCGCTGGTTATTGGGGGCAAATTATTGGCCCCCACGGAAAGGGCCCGCAACTTGGGTGTCCTCCTGGATGCACGGCTGTCTTTATAAGGGCATACGACGGCCGTGGCCAGGGGGGCCTTCTATCAGGTCCGCCTGATACGCCAGTTGCGCCCCTTTCTGGATCGGGACTCCCTACGCACGGTCACTCAAGCGCTCATCACCTCTCGTCTGGACTATTGTAACGCTCTCTACATGGGGCTGGGGTGCACCCGGAGGCTCCAACTGGTGCAGAATGCGGCCGCGTGGGGGATTATGGGAGCGACCGGGCGCTCCCATGTGACTCCTCTCCTGCGCGAGCTGCATTGGCTCCCGGTGGACTTCCGAGTGCGCTTCAAGGTGTTGGTGATCACCTTTAAAGCGCTCCATGGCTTAGGGCTGGGGTATCTACGGGACCGCCTCCTGCCACCAATTGCCTCCCACCGGCCAGTTCGCTCCCACAGAGAGGGCCTCCTCAGGGTGCCGTCGGCCAGGCAATGTCGGCTGGCGACCCCCAGGGGGAGAGCCTTCTCTGTGGTAGCACCCACCCTCTGGAACAATCTACCCCCAGAGATACAAGTGATCCCAGACCTCCGGACTTTTCGTCGGGCCCTTAAAACCTATTTTTTTCAGTTTGCCGGCTGTCCTGATTTTATTATTGGTTTTAATAAATTTTGGTATGGCTTTTAATTGGAATGTTTTAAATTAATGAGCCAAATTTATTTAATTATTTTAAATTTATTCTAACTTTTGTATATAAAATGTTTTATTTCTGGCTGTTCACCGCCCTGAGTCCGAAAGGAGAAGGGCGGTATAGAAATTTGAATAAAGATAAAGATAAAGAACCTGATATATGTGTCCTTCTTCACTTATTCTCTTGAGGTTTTTATGCAAATATTGGAAGTCATGCTGAAATCATTCAAATGATGTACACCAAGCCTACCTGTCACCAAATTTTCCAGATGCATCTAATATAATGGGGATATTCACACACTAAGCTAACACAGATTCATCAAAGAGAAGGAACAACTTGGCTATACCAGTACTGAAAGCAGCTTCCAACTCCTTCTTGTCTCCAGCTGATATCCTAGCCATCATTATAATGGCTGGCTGGACATCACTATTGGTTTTCTTTACTAGATTTAAAAACTCCAATGCAAATATAGAATGGTCCAATTGGGGATAAAGCCATTCTATGCAGGGTAGGAGAGGAGGCAAATCCAATCCCTTAATATCTAATAAAAGTTTTCCTTGAGGGGAAAAAGAATATTCTGAATCTGGCTCATTCTCTCATACATTAACCTTACCAAGTCATCCAGTTTAGAGACACCCTACATTTAAATATGGCGATATTCCTAAACTACCAGCTAAGTCAAAGTTCTTGAATAATGCACTCATTTCTTGCTGCAGCTGCCACTGCCAGGCAATGAAATGATTCAAAACCATTTTCCCCACTGTCTCCCAACATCAACATTTCCTTTGTGCCACTCTAGCAAGAGCCAGGTTTTAAAATATACAAATATGTATACAAAAAGATTCATTCTATTATGCATAAAGAGCTGTTTTAGAAAACAGCAGTTAGAAATGGAAGCTAACTGAAGATTATTTAGTCCTACAAATCATTGTAACTTGGACATTTTAGTAATACGTACTGGGGGAAAAACTAGGAAGGACAAATGTGAAATAGTTTTAATATTTTTTTAAAAAAGGCCACATGAGGTTCCAGAAATGAAGATCATCTGGCAAAGGAGTATTCTTATTCACATTTGCCCTTCCAGCCATCCAATGGTTACAAGATCACTTGGAAAGCATTTGTCAAGGAAATTAATGTTTAAAATGTTTTTTAAGAATACTTACATTTTCTTTGAATGTCAAAATACTCCAGACATCATTTTTAAAAATATTATAACTTTATATAAATCTAAAGAGTAACAGAAATGTGGGATGGATTGGGAAACACTAGTAAGAACATATTTCTTCTCAGCAGTATAGGCCAAAACTATCACATTGGCATTATTTGTTTATATAATCAGTCAACAAGTCTGAAACTCAGAATTTAACCCTTGAAATCTGCAACAGAGATCACCAGGCAGGTGAAGAAAAACTTCATTTGAAGAATCTAGAAAAGTCTATGGACTGTCTGCATCTGGGTAATATCAGTCACAAATGCTGAACTAGATGGCTCATTCAGTTAAATCTAGAAGGTAGAACTTCTAGATTTATTCTCTGAAAAGATACTAAACCAGAGGATCAGAACTGCTGTCTGACCAAAACTTTACAAATCAGTAGTTTATAAGTGGGAAGTCAAACATTCCCTATGTTTCCAGTTCAACTTTCTAAAAACAAAGCAGTCAACATTTTGTTGATAGAATTTTGCAGAGATCCAGATGACCTTATCAGCCATCTAGAAACCTTACACTAAATCCTCTTCAGTTTTTCTCTAATCTTATTTCATATGATCTTTTTAAAAAAAGACAAAACTGTTATTGTGGCACAATTCTTGAGAGGGATAGGAAAGGCCAATGCTCAACTGAGGCACAGCAGGAGGAAATTATCTGAGGAACATGGATAATATTCAACAGACAGGCAAGTAGATAAAGTTTCATTCTGAGATAAAAATGATCTGGTCCATTAGGCAACAACTCCTAGTGATCACAGCTTCAACTGTTTAACCAAAGAGCAAACTGCGTCAATTTATAGATAAATTCTGAAATTCAAGGAAGGAAGTACAAGGGAGGGGAGGCCCAGAGGAAATCCTCAGATTATAATGCTGAAATCCACAGGAAAATGTGCCAACATGTTCATATCCACAGAGATGAAAAATGTGCTTCCCTTGGCAAAAAAAAGTCAGTTCAGTTCACATTTTTTCATAAGCTTGTTTACATTAGGAAAATATTTCTCTTCAGAGTAAGATTTTAAACACTGAAATTAATATTATACACTGTAAAAATAGCTCAATGTGATGGTTAACCTAAAATGTTGCTCAATAATTTCTTGCATGTGTAGTGAACCAACAGATATTCACTGCATGATCTATATTATAATTGTGGCTGTAGTTCAGATCACCTATAGGTGTTATCAAGACTAAAATGCTACATAGTTTAAAACATCCAGTCAAGCACAGTACTCTCAAGGAAACATGGAGTCATTTGCAAATGAGGATGCAGATCAACTTGAAGATCAAGCTTCCCCACAAATCGGATGAGGCTGTGTCCTATCTTTACCATTACATCAGTCCATAATTTTCCTAAGTGGTAATGTCAAACCTTTCTTCAAAAAAGAATTTCCCATTTCAAGCAGTGATGGTCCCAGCCGAATGATTACTGTTTTACTCTGCTGTTACAATGGTGTAGTCTGGGCTACCACTTAGGAGAGGACGCATTTGAGTCACTCCATCTCCCATTTTCCCAGTGTGGCAGCAAAAAACATCACTTCAAGGAGGGCCCAAACACAAACAAGCATAAAAAGCTTGGTAGTTGCTTACTGTAAATGTTGGTAGAGTTTAGTCTAATTTCCAGCATATTTTCTTCCATACCTCCCTTTGTTATTTTTGTGATAAATCTGTGTAACATGAAAAGAGTAATAGATGACAAGGGAGATAAAATCAAAGATAAATAGATAATTGATAAAGTTTAAGATATTAAGAATTAAGAAAAGGGTCAAGAGACTAAGAATTAGATAGAACTGTGCTTTATAAAGTGTAATAAGAATAAAGTGGTATAGAATTTGAAATCAAGATTTGTGGTGATAAAATTGTAAGGTAAATAATTACAATTAATAAATAAACAAGAGGTTAGAATATTGTTAAAAAATTCTTTT